AGTGCAGAGTTGCATCCCTTGGGCACACCAGAAACCTGTCATAGTTGGTTCCAATCCTGGTTCGCTCTGATTATGTTTCTAGGTCAGCACCATACCCATTCTTGTGGGATGCACCAAAGTGGTAAACATCTGAGACAGTGCATAGGTTCGGTCTTTCCTCCCACACCATGCTGACAAGCCTTGATATGGCTAGAATACTGTTCAAAGCAGTGTTGCACCCAACTCACTCACTCACTCAAGAATTATGTTGCTCAGTAATAGCCAGCTCTGGCAAATGATGTGTGTATCATTGGGACCGGCATAGTTAGTAGAGTGTTAGCAAGAGATAGAATGATAGCTTTATTGTCATGTCAGGAAAACAAACATTTTTGGCTTGAGTGGAAGTCAATGGTAACAGAACAGGGTATCATGTTGGATTGTGAGGTGAAAATGGTCAATGTCATTAATAATCTAAATGTGGCCTCCTAAACCCTTTACACGGTCCAAGTCCAAACTGTTTTGTGAGAAGCAGTTACTATCACTGCAGGTCTTTTATAGTGTTCCATCATACCAGGGAACACGCATTATTCTAGATTCTCAGCACAAATACTTTTTTGGTAATTATCTATTTGGAAAGTAGTGTTGATGTAGGTCAACCTACTTGTAGAGCTTTCATCATAGGATAATCATGTTATCCCACTAATGCTGACTGGACAAAGACCCAATGGTTTATTGTTCTATTAGTAAATGACTTGCACTGATGAATATTTGTCATCGACTCAGCTTATGGACATCAATCACGGCCTGACGGTGACAACAGTTCTTTGTCATGGTAACCCAGATAGCCATCACACAGGCCTTGAAATGTTGTGAGCAATGGCACTGATTGGGGCATCATGTAAACCCATGATGGTTCAACAAATCACAATGAATTTCCTGCAATAAGACAAAAAGTCACAGATGTTGATGTTATGGATAATCGATTCAACATTTAGCAAATCAATAATCGAGTCCATATCTCTCCTGTTCTTGATATTTCAGATAAAGATGTATATTTTTAATCTGTCATTGTGCCTATCATTATTTGTTTAGGAATCCTTGCCCGAGACCTGATTGTTTCTTTCCCGCTTCTGCATGTGTTGGAGAGATTCAGTTTCAGGCTACAGGTTTCTTATTCATGTATGGTAGACACTGAGATACTGTCCTAATTTTGAAAAGAGCAATATGCCAACTGGGCTGGGACGGGGCTCAGGTACGCGGGTCGGGTGGGTCCTGAGTAGGACACGGATACCCACAGGACTACCTGGACCCGTGGTTAGTCACGTGAGATATTGTTTAATGACAAACAATATCTGGAACTCTATGGTTACACTACAAGTCACTAATGTTCGCATTTCTTTCTGACTTAGCACCATTGCTTATGACCTTTATAGGTTTGAATAAAAATACAACTTCAGTCAACTTCATTGTATGCATGACCAGAGCATTTAATACATGTATCTAGATACATTTTACCAGGGCTACGGTCACACTATTCCCAATCGGACATTTTGTATCCAACTCTTGAGACCTCTAGAGGGTACCCGGGGAGGGTCGTGTAATAGAGAGGTGGGTACCCGGGTATTAAATTTGGACTCGTCCCAGCTCTGATGCCATCCTTTATTAATGCTCAACAGCTATTTCCTGTCTTCTTCATTTGACATCCCACACATCATGTCCAATAACTGGAATTAAATTTCCAATCCCTGTCATCTAATGTAAGGCAAGTAGATGGTCGAGAATATCCAACACAACAATAAAAGTCCATCACTATGAAGGTGATCACCATGACACCAAATTGATATTGATTGCTGCTGTACTATGTAGGCAAGTCATAGTGGAGACATCTTGCCTTGACATGTGACCAAAGTGTAGCAACAGCCATCTCAAGACTCAATGCTGTGCACAAGCCTAATGACTGTAACGTCTTATTTCATTGCTCTTGGCACATCATCTGTGCTTCGTTATACAGTAAGGCTGTGGTCAAAGGAGATTATCACTGTATTTATGTTGTGGGCCTGAACTATGGTGAAAAGGGATATTTGTTTCTTCTAAACCTGCCATGATAAAGCTGTGATATTGCTTACAGAGTCAGACTCTGATATTTAGGCAACATTTGATGAAATCCGTATTTCAACAAATGTCCAAAATAAAATCACCGACTCCCTGAATGAAAGCCAGTGACTCTTGTGTCTGTGAAACGTGTTTTTATTTATGTTAAGTATGATGAATAAACATAGTACATGTACAGTGCACACTTAATATCAAGTCATTTATCGAGGAACATCATGTGTGATCCAAGATGTGTGACGGTCGAAATGCGTGTAACAAAAGACAGATATAATTATACATACAAATTATAGGTCCCATTGAGTTTGTTATAACCCTAGTTTATTGTATTTACTAACTGCCATGTATGGTCAGACAGTGATATACTTGCATGAGTTACTGAATATTTGGTAAAGGAATATCCTGAAAAATATTTGGCGTCGGCAAATGATGTGAATAAAAGTTACAAAACCCATTCCATATCCTTAAATCTCTGCTAGTAACAGGGTCGATAGTACGATTCCAACTATATGATGAGCATGTGTTTATAAATCACTATCAAATAGTGATGATACCAGGTGTTTGTGAGAAAAGATTTGTTTATAGCAGCAGGCAGCTCAATGCAGTTTAAGGCTAATTATCCTCTGTGAAAACATAGGGAAGGACTTGTCTATGTTGAGAAACATGTAGAGCAAGACTTCCAGATTTGTCATCAGTGGCTATCAGCTAAGGACTTACGACCCATGTCATTCTGTAAATCACTTAAACCTTTATCAATACCAAGTACGATAGAGAGGGAGAGCTCAGATTTCAGACTTACGCTAATCCTATTGATGGTCCAGGAATACGAGACAACTCATTTGTTCCTGTGAACATTTCAGTGTTTGTTTCATTTGTTTCACTCCTTGCTTAGTGTAAGGTGGGCGATGTACTCAACAGCCTGTGTACCCTGTCTCCAGAAGTCTTTTCGGTGTCTTTATGAAACTTTGGAAATTTATTTGTGCAATGAAACTTACATAAGTATAAACCAAACATGCAGATGTAGCTGAACTTGAACCTGATTGAATGCATCCTTCATTTACAATGAGTTTTACCAATAGGCTTTCCTTTCTATTGACCTGCTTACCTTTTTAGTGAACAGCTGGTACCATCACTATAACTAAAACAAGGGCTCTGTGTAAGGGATCAGGTGTTTGCCATGTCCGTTTGTTTGTATTCAGGCCCTCAGATGTGACAGATGTGAATTGGAATAGCCCTTAGAGACTCACCATGTCGCACTTAGTGTGACAGATGTGAATAGGAATAGCCCTTAGAGACTCACCATGTCGTACTTAGTGTGACAGATGTGAATAGGAATAGCCCTTGGAGACTGTCATGAAGTCGTACTTAGGGTGACAGATGTGAATAGGAATAGCCCTTAGAGACTGTCATCAAGTCGTACTTAGTGTGACAGATGTGAATAGGAATAGCCCTTAAGGACTCACCATGTCATACTTAGTGTGACAGATGTGAATAGGAATAGCCCTTAGAGACTGTCATCGAGTCGTACTTAGTGTGACAGATGTGAATAGGAATAGCCCTTAAGGACTCACCATGTCATACTTAGTGTGACAGATGTGAATAGGAATAGCCCTTAGAGACTGTCATCAAGTCGTACTTAGTGTGACAGATGTGAATAGGAATAGCCCTTAAGGACTCACCATGTCATACTTAGTGTGACAGATGTGAATAGGAATAGCCCTTAGAGACTCACCATGTCGTACTTAGTGTGACAGATGTGAATAGGAATAGCCCTTGGAGACTGTCATGAAGTCGTACTTAGGGTGACAGATGTGAATAGGAATAGCCCTTAGAGACTGTCATCAAGTCGTACTTAGTGTGACAGATGTGAATAGGAATAGCCCTTAAGGACTCACCATGTCATACTTAGTGTGACAGATGTGAATAGGAATAGCCCTTAGAGACTGTCATCAAGTCGTACTAAGTGTGACAGATGTGAATAGGAATAGCCCTTAGAGACTCACCATGTCGTACTTAGTGTGACAGATGTGAATAGGAATAGCCCTTGGAGACTGTCATGAAGTCGTACTTAGGGTGACAGATGTGAATAGGAATAGCCCTTAGAGACTGTCATCAAGTCGTACTTAGTGTGACAGATGTGAATAGGAATAGCCCTTAAGGACTCACCATGTCATACTTAGTGTGACAGATGTGAATAGGAATAGCCCTTAGAGACTGTCATCAAGTCATACTTAGTGTGACAGATGTGAATAGGAATAGCCCTTAAGGACTCACCATGTCATACTTAGTGTGACAGATGTGAATAGGAATAGCCCTTAAAGACTGTCATCAAGTCGTACTTAGTGTGACATCAAGTCGTACTTAGTGTGACAGATGTGAATAGGAATAGCCCTTAGAGACTGTCATCAAGTCGTACTTAGTGTGACAGATGTGAATAGGAATAGCCCTTAGAGACTGTCATCAAGTCGTACTTAGTGTGACAGATGTGAATAGGAATAGCCCTTAGAGACTGTCATCAAGTCGTACTTAGCGTGACAAAAGTGAATAGGAATAGCCCTTAGAGACTGTCATCAAGTCGTACTTAGTGTGACAGATGTGAATAGGAATAGCCCTTAGAGACTGTCATCAAGTCGTACTTAGTGTGACAGATGTGAATAGGAATAGCCCTTAAAGACTCACCATGTCGTACTTAGTGTGACATCAAGTCGTACTTCAACTGACAGATTTAGGAACATTTTATGGTACCCTGTGTATTTGTTCCATTCCAGCTGTTATGGCTACCTTTGTACGGCTACATTTGTATGGCTACCTTTAAGTTAATTTTCATTTACATTTCAGGAAGCAACTGTTTTGTTTATAGGACTTAATTATTTCATTGTCACCATTGTTAATTGTGTTATCATTTGTTTCAGACAAGAGATAAGGATACGTATTATTGATGATGAAGAGTACGAGAAATCTGAACACTTCACTGTCATCCTGGATGAGCCATACCTGGTTCGAAAAGGCTCAGGTAATGCTCAGTTTTCAACACAGATCTGGCTTTGTTGTCTTTTTCAGGAGCGTTCATTTGAGATTATGGTAGACTTGCTGCCATATATATTTGTCATGAAGATATCAAAACATCTAATAAATGAAAGGAACTTAAGGTTATATGCATGACTTCATCATATAATGATAATGTTAATTGTTTTCTTTTCAGTAATATCGCATGTAGACAATGTATCTGATGGTACACCCTGCAAACATTGTGACGTAAAAATATTTGAGATTTCATGAAGTGTAAAATAATGAATCCTTGAACAGCTGTCTTCAGTCCTAGCAGTTGTCCCAGCAGTTGTGTGTGTGTGCAATAGTGTTGACATGATGCAATCATCACAGCAGAGTGTGGGCAGCCATGCTGTAGATGTGGGCATGTCACATGCTGTCTCAAGGACAACATTCTATAAGTTCTATTTGTTTATTGTGGGTGTAAGTGGACAGAGATGTTTGTTATGTCTCCATTACCACTATGGCTGTGGACAGCAAATCAAGCTAATCAGCCCTGCATGTGGGTAAACCTGTTGGTGGTAGATAGCCACAAGTATCCTGATTACTCATGCTCACACATTAACGACCATGAGACAAATGACTTTGTGATTAGGCTGCACCAGTACTATTTGGTGAAATGCCTGGATGCTGTTTCATTCACAGAAAACATTCGACCCGTGAAGGTCCAGGGTAGAATAGATCTTCAGCAACCTATGCTTGCTGTAAAAGGAGACTATGCTTGTCGTAAGAGGCAACTTAAATGGGATCGGGTGATCAGACTCACAGACTTGGCTCATGCATGTCATCGCATCCCAATTGCGTTGATCGATGCTCATGATGTCAGTCACTGTATTGTCTGGTCCAGACTCGAATATATACAGACTGCAGTCATATAGCTGGAATATTGCTGTGTACTGCGTTACACAACAAACAAACAAACACAGAAAACATTCAATAATGTCTCTAAGAAGTAACATTTCTCTTACGATTTGCAATCTGTCGTTTTGGGCTATTCATCATTCATGAAAATAGTCATCAATATGTTTTCTAATTTGGATAGGTAGATATTTTTTATTAATTGAATTGATAGATTCTACAACTTAATTACATTTATTTAAATCTAAGACTTTTTATGGAATGATAAATAGTTTATCTGTGTCGCGCCTGAAATGCACAATTATAGCCTGGGCCATGATGTTGCTTAGCTGTTACTCTATACCTTTACTAACAATTATTGCATTAGCTTAGGAAGCTGTCATGGTTACCCACATGTCATTCTGTTATGATTAACAAGAGGGACTTCATCAACTGGGAAGGAGTTGCGTGTCGAGCGTCATGTTCTCACCAGGAAAAGATTTTTAGTTGCTGTGTGGAGAGAAATTTGCTCATTGCCTTGTTAGGGTATATATCGACTGTTCCCTAACGAAAACCTAACAGGTCATTTAGTGGCTTCCTTCCTGAACGTTGCTGGAAAGATATAGATTATGTCGGAGGTGTTGTTGGTTGAGTGAGCTGAGGAAGGTCAGTTGTGAGCTGTGGGAGGTCGGTTGTGGGCTGTGAGTTGTGGGAGGTTGGTTGTGAGCTGTGAGTTGTGGGAGGTTGGTTGTGAGCTGTGAGTTGTGGGAGGTTGGTTGTGAGCTGAGTGAGGTCGGTTGTGGGCTGTGTGAGGTCGGTTGTGGGCTGTGGGAGGTTTGTTGTGGGCTGTGGGAGGTTTGTTGTGGGCTGTGAGTTGTGGGAGGTCGGTTGTGAGCTGTGGGAGGTTGGTTTGAGCTGTGAGCTGTGGGAGGTCGGTTGTGGGCTGAGTGAGGTCGGTTGTGGGCTGTGGGAGGTCGGTTGTGGGCTGTGGGAGGTTTGTTGTGGGCTGTGGGAGGTTTGTTGTGGGCTGAGGAAGGTCAGTTGTGAGCTGTGGGAGGTTTGTTGTGGGCTGTGGAAGGTCACTTGCGACCTGTGGAAGGTCAGTTGCAAGCTGACTGGAAGGTCTGCTAAAAATATAAGGAATATTGACATAGTGAATAGTGGGAATTTTATGATTTATCAATTAGTGTTTTAGTAATGGAATGTCATCAGAAAACAACATAAATATTATGTAGGTGTTTGGGGGGAATAATCTGTCGATATTAGGACTGAGTTATTGTACTGAGTCTTGTATGGGGAATTTGTCTGCTGAGATCTGTTCTAGACTCCTCATGAGCTGTTTGGTTATAGTGAATCTTTTCCACCTTGCGGAGACTGTGTGCTTTACCTTGAGGATATAGGTTCCAGTTTTACCTACATACTGAACTAAAAATACATTCTACTTTTTGGGCAAATGGATAAAACATCCAGGAATTTTGCTCCATGTTAAGGGTACAGGGACATTTCAGTAAGAAGCCACAATAGCAATAGTTAAAGAAGGTTTGTATACTGTACTTGTATCTTCTGGTCTCTGCTCTTTTGACATTATTTGGGTGATTTTTGGTCACTTCTTTAATGTCGATGAAGTGACGTAATATATGTCGTTAAAGCCACAAAGACACGATAGTGTCAGTTCAATAGGGACCAAAAAATGGCGCATATTAGCAGGATTCTTGTGCTGACTTTCCCATTAGCTAGTGTCGACCTTGATAGGTTTCCCATGTACACTGCATTATGTGAAGGCATCAGACTCACTGCTTCTAGGAGGATATACACAGGAACACAGGAAAATACATGATCCAGCTTATTACTTAATGTTAGTCTCAAATCCTAAGGTAAATGTGTGAAGGGAAGTAAGCTGAGTGATTTCACAAGGACTGTTACATTCGTCTATTGGGATCGCTCCTGAAATAATGAACTGTACATCTTGTAAGTTGTACATGAGAGAGGCAAGCTTCAGGAAAAATATAGTCTAGATTGGACTCATTTGTGGTTGCAAGTGCTTTGTAGGAGGTCAATATCCTACTTTAGTTTTTGCATATATGCATCAGTTAACATGTGGCATAAGATCCAGACACTGCTTTGTCTTAGAGGTATGAAAATACTTATGAATAAACATAGAAATGAATCTGATATTTTAACTCAAAAGAAACCTCAAAGCTCAGCTTCTTGCAAATGTAAATTGAACATCATTCAAGGTTCGCAGGCAAAGGCGTATGCATGAGACTGTTTGAGACAGACGAATTCATGGATCCTGCAGAGTTTTTCTTGCAGATCTGTCAGCCTTTGTCTAATGCTTAAGCTCTCTTGTGTGTGGCAATTTGGTTATTGTTTTTTTACAGTGTGTCTTTTTAACTCCCAATATCCCCAAAACAAAACAATTGTGGTTATTTATTGGCAGCATTTGTGACAACTTTCTGAATTATTTCTGGCAGCTTTTAAACTTGCAGGACACATTGGGACTATTGGTCCACATTCATTATTTTGGATTTCTTTGGTGGATGCTAGTCTGTCTCACAGTCCCTGAACCATAATACTTCCTTTCTGCCCAGCCCTGACTGCAACGCTGGCCCGACAACCTTAAATGAATCAAGTCCAGATTTCCACAGGTTATGAATCTCCCATCTCACTGGGGCTCCTTTTCAATCTAGGTGGAGTTGTTTGATTCTATATTTTCAGAGGCTAAGCATTATTCTATGGTGGATCCTTACAATGTAAATACATAGCTTTCTCACTGTTAACCCACTTTGGTAAGCACATGCTTTGATGTATTACATGGAGGAAAAGCTTTTGTTCTATTTTAAAAAAGGTAGCTGGCACCATACAGACTTGGAATTTCATGAAAAATTGGTTGATTTGATGAGTAAGCCAAAGCTGTAAGATGTAGTGGTACCAGATGTATAACCTCCGACTGAAATCTGTTGCCTGTTGATATGCAGTGTAATTGTGAGCCTCCTGTAAGGTAAATATGAGAGCCTGTCATGATGTCTGCTGGGTTGAGTTCACTGTGCCACTTCCTGACGTACTGTCGTGTTGGAGTGTGATCTGATGATGCTAGTCGGTATAATACTGGTGCTATGTTATGTAGCTCATAAATGTCTGGTATTCATTATTGTTGACTTATTTATGAGAATTCACACTTTGACATGTTCTTTTTGAGTTTATGGAGGTATAAACATGAAAAAATGGTGTGCACACTAATTGCACAAATCCTCCATAGAAGCAAACAAATATTGAAGTCAACTTGTATAAATAAATATGTCAATGATAATATAATAACTTTACACACTATATTTTTATCAAATGTGTAGTGCTTAAAAAAACTGTAGACAATAATACGAAATCGGTGACCTTGTCCAGGACGATGATGCACCACAAGACCCATCTACTCCATTATCACAGGAAACAGTAGTTTGTTGGTTGGCATGGCTGATGATTTTATGGAAACATGGATGCAAAAAATTCCCAAAAATTTGCTTGGTTAGCCAATCAAATATCATGAAATCACTTGCAATATTATTTATTAGGCAAGTGCCTGATCCTCTGTGAATAGAACATTGGTATTCTTGATACATGTTCCAAATGGGGGCCTCGTACATCTGGAAAAGTGCTCAGAAAATTAATTTGTCGCTTAGAGAAGTATCACCAATCAGAAGTATCTTGTCAATCAGGAGGATTTACTGCATTTATGACCATTTGCATTTTGTTTATTGTTAAGAATGCAAGTAGTTGTTGTTCAACATTGCTATAGAGTAACCTTCATGTGTGATGTCATACAGTCATGATTCTACCATTACTGCATTACTGTAGATGCATTATTTATGTGTGTGTGTGTGTGTGTGTGTGTGTGTGTGTGTGTGTGTGTGTGTATGTGTATGTATGTATGAAGATCTGCCAACCTGCTTTAATGTAAGCAAATACATAAAAAAGTGTTTTTAAAAAGGTGTGGCCTTCATATTCTGTCTCAGAGGTCCCGTGGGGTCAAAGCCCTGGGTTCTAGTCCCGACCTGGGCACCTTGTGTGACATAGATTTCTGGTGTCCCACGCTGTGATATTGCTGGAATATTTCTAAAGACGCCATAAAACCAT